GAATATAATTAAGAGAATATAACTATATTAATGATAACATTGTTTATATTATAATATATAATAATATTATATATTATATTTATATTATGAAAAAGGAAAAAGAAATAAAATTAAGAATGTAAGAAAAGGTTGATGATTAGAATCTTGTACCATAACACAGTCACACATACCAGGCCATCCTGATACCTACAAGCATATATAATATGCTGCTCTAATACAAAATGTGAAAGAGAAAGATTTGCTCAAAATCATTGTGAAGGACGTTTAAAGTAATTTTAAAATAATGAACTAGGAACTTAAAGGTCTTGCAAAACAATAAAGGTAAAGGTAAAGGCCCTCCCGTTGATCGTCGATTTGCTCCAGCGGGCCCAGTAACGTCTCCATTGGAGACTTTGTTGTTACTGTGTCTGGCATATCGAATACTCTCGGTAGCTTGCCGGGCTCTCCGAGAGGGGCGGAGGAATTGAACTCGGGTCGGCCATGTTGGCCGCTTGTAAGGCGAACGCCCTACCCACTGTGCTATCGCTCCAGCCCAATATGTAATAGTTAAAAACATGCAAGTTTTTCTCTTTTGCACTGTAGCATGTGCAAAAACTACTCCTGGGCCTATTTAAACTCATATTCCAGGCCTCTCTCCAAAAAAATTTATTAATAGTAAATTTGGATAAATAAGCATACCATTCACCTCTTCCCCTATTCCAGATGGAGAGACCACAAGGAAAGAAACCAGAAAAACAACACTGTTTTGGGATAGGGAACTTTCCTGTATGCATGAAATATTTTTAATTAGGAAAAAATACTATGAAATACTAGTTTTCAGTCACTTGCCTATAGGAGCAATTGTCAAACTGCATACTGCAACTATATCAATTTCGTCAGACCTGGATTATAGTGGAATTTTTTTTTTTTAAAGAAAAGTCTATCTCCTATTCTAAGTTAGTGTTGCCTTGACATGTTTGTTCCGGGCTGTGTGCACCTGGGTGAATATATATTATGTGCATATTGGGAGATGATATAGGATGTGCTTCTTGCCTGGAGTAACCCCTGAGCATCACTGGGTGTGACCCCCCCACCAAAAAAAAGTGCTTCTTTTCACAGTTATAAATATGAAAGTCAAGTAGTTTAAGCCTAGCAACGCAAAGGAGTAATGCAGAACCCTCCCAATAAGCAGATCAAGAGGAAGTCTTCTACTGAACTAGGAAAAGATCTTTAGGACTGGCAGACTCATAGAAATGGACTCATATTTTGAAACAGTTTCTGAAAATTACAGGGGACCTAGAGGAGAAAAGAATTATGAAAATCTATAATGATCAACTTCATATATCTCAATGTAAAAATACTTACCAAAGAAATTTGCACCTCTGTGACCATAAAAGCTTTATTCACAACAAGCAAAACATGGAATCAATTCAAAGTAACAGATGACTGGATAAAGAAGCTGTGAGACATGCAACTCAGTAAGATGTCACCTTACCATATAAAGAAATAAAATTGTGCCATTCATGACAAAAAATAGGTGGAGTTTGAGGTAATTATGCTAAGCGAATTAAGTATACAAATGAAAGACAGCTATTGGAAGGTTTCAGTCTTATTTGGAATGTAAATGTCTAAAGAAAACAAACTGGCAAAGAAAGCAGTAAAACTCTTAGACTCACTGGAGAGAATGTGGACTACCAGGGTCAGAGAGGGAGCACAAAGAGCTTCCATGCAGGAGTTCGTGCGAGGCCCTGGCACTGTGTGATCCCCAACGGGTTGGTCCCCCCCGCCCACTGGGAGTGATGTCTGACCTGAGCTCAGAGCTGGGTGTCCCCACACCATTGAGTGTGGCCAAATACCAAAAATACCAAGAAATAAATGAAAAAGAATGGAGATTAATAGTAGGAAGAAGATAGGTGGGGAGAACAGGCACAGTTTTGGGTGATGGAATGGTATTACAACTTGGTGCCAGGTACAGTGAATCCTATAGACATGAAATGTGTGAAGCACTACGTTTAAATGAAAAATCCTATACTCTTGTAATCACTTAATCACTTAACTTCCCGTTAGTCGTCGATTTGCTCGAGCGGGCGCCAGTAACGTCTCCATCTGGCCCTGTGGCGTGCTAGTGTAGCCCAATGGCATCTGTTCGCTCTGGGAACATGAAGAGCCTCAAACCGATCGTTCATGATCTTGATGAAGAAGTCTGACCATCTGGTAGGTGGGCGGCCACGCGGTCTCTTGACATCCTGTGGAATCCAATCAGTAACAGCTCTAGTCCAGCGGTCGTCTTTAATCTCATTACGTGACCAGCCCATCTGATTTTTGACACCTTGGCAAATGAGACAGCGTCCCTGATTCTTGATCGTTGACGGATGTCAGAACTCCGGATTCTTTCTCTCATTTGAGTGAAACGTGATATTCCAAGCACAGCTCTTTCAATTCCTCTTTGGGAGACCGGAATAGCGTTCTCATCTTGTTTGCGTAGGGCCCAGGTCTCTGAGGCATATGTTAATGCAGGAAGAACAGTGGAATCAAAGAGATGTGCCCGGAGCCGGAGGTTCTTCGTCTTCTTAGCTATTTCTTCGACTTTCTTGAATGTGTTCCAAGCCGCTCTCTTCCTCCTGCGCAGCTCGGGTGCCAGGTCATTTGTCATGTTGACCTCTCGACCTAGGTACACATAGCTGTTGCATTCGGAGATGGTCGTTGAGAGCAAATGCGGCATCAGGAACGAGGCTGTTTCTCATAAACATTGTCTTCGTAAGATTCAGCTGTAGTCCTACCTTTCCACACTCATGGTCAAAGTCGGCCATCATTTGTGCCGCTTGTCTGATGTTTGGTGTTATTAAAACAATGTCATCAGCAAAGCGGAGGTGGTGTAGTTGCCGACCATCTATCTTCACTCCCATTCCTTCCCATTCCAGTCGTCGCATGATGTTCTCGAGGGTGGCACTGAAGAGTTTCGGTGAAATGGTATCACCCTGCCGTACCCCTCTCTTGACATCAACGATCACTTCTTTGTAGAATGGTGAGATCCTGGTAGTGAATCCGCAATAGAGCTCACGGAGGATCCTGATGTATTGGGCTTGAATGCCCTGATTGGCTAGGGCTTCAATGACCGCTTCCGTCTCAACAGAATCAAAGGCCTTCTTTAAATCAATGAACGTTAAACAGAGCGGCATCTTGAACTCCCGAGAAACCTCAATGAGCTTGGTTATCATGTGGATATGGTCGATGGTGCTGAATCCTTTGCGGAACCCGGCTTGCTCGCATGGTTGTCCTTCATCTAGTGTTCTGCCAATCCTATTTAGGATGACTCGAGTGAACAACTTGTAGATGACAGACAATAGGCAGATCGGGCGATAGTTGCCAATGTCATGGACGTCTCCCTTCTTGAACAGTAGTACGGTCCTGCTGGTTTTCCATTGGGACGGAACCTTGCATTCAGACAGGTAGCGAGTGAAGAGCCGAGCCAGTGTATTGATGAGTACTGATGGCAGGTTCTTCAGGTGTTCAGGTCTGACCTTGTTTGGGCCGGGTGCTGTTTGTTTCTTTACCGACGAAATGGCGTGTCGGATTTCGGAAGGGAGAATGTTGAGAACGACATATCCATCCTGTGGAATTTGGTATGTCGGCAAGTGGACATGGCTATCAAAGAGATTTGAGTAGAAGTCATGGATAATCTTCTCCATTGCCGTTCTGGAGGATGTGATGGATCCATCAGGACGTCGGAGGGCAGTCATCTTGGTCTTGTAGTTGGCGAAGGACAGGCGGGCGTAACGAATACTTTTACCAGCTTCTGCCACATCTACCAGTACTTCTGCTCTTCTCTCTTTGAGGTCTTCCTTGATCGCATCTCTGCACTGCTTTGCGAGCTCGGATGTTAGCTTGCGGTTGCCTGAGGCATGCGCCAAACCACGCTGGCGAATTAGCTCAAGAGTTTTCTCCTTTAAATGAAAAATTCTATACTCTTGTAAACTAATGATAAATTTTTAAAAGTAGAAAATTGGGATATTTATCATGGATTTTTGTCTCATTACTGCTCAGAAAAAACATTTAAAGGCATTTTTAAATGTTATTTTAAAACCTTTAAATGCCTTTTTGGGAACTGGTATTGGAACATTATATTCCTGAAACTCAATCAAAAAGTAACTTGGTAACTTTGTAACTCACAGCAATTCAATAAATAAATAAATAAATAAATAAAATGCCTTTATGGTATGTCAGTTTTCTTAAGTAATTTTTAAAAGAATTTAAACTACTTCCTCTGTCTCTAAGTGTATATCAAACTTGAAAGATCTATTTCCTATCCATTTGGACAAATTGTTTACTACTCTTTGTTCATCTCTGGGCTATTTTTAAACTAAGCATATGCAAATAGTCATTTTAAGATACCACAGCAAAATAAAATGCAATCATTATAGGTTTTTTTCTCATAACCTTAAATTTAACACAACAAAAATGTTATTGGACTGGAGCCAGAGCAACAGTCCAAGAGTCCAGTGGGTAGGGCACTTGCCTTGCACATGGCCAACCTGGGTCTGATCCCCAATATCCCAACAGCGCCAGTAATTCCTAAGTACAGAGCCGGGAGTAAGCCCTGAGCATCACTGGGTGTGACCCAAACACACACACACACACACACACACACACACACACACACACTTCGATGGACTAAGTCTCCTTTATTTTTATTACTGAGTGGTGGGATATCCGGCAATACTACAGCAGCAGACAGTGCCAAATACTAAACCAATTTGTTCATAAGCCACAGACCAAGTGCCTTTCTTGTGTTTTGTTTTTGTTTTCTGTTTGGGCCAAACTAAGTAGTTTTCAAGGGCTATTCCCAGCCCAGTGCTTCAGCACTGCTCCGGAAGATGCGAAGAAATTATACAGTGCCAGGGAACAACCCCAGGCCTCCTACATGTAAAAAGAACGTGCTCTAGTGTATTGAGCCATCCTATCCTTCTGGACCAAGTGGAGTGTCCTTTCCCACCAAATTCGGGTGCCATTGCAAGGCTTACCTGAAAGTGTAGGTTGGTAAGAAGCACACTGATGTCTCCATAATGAAATGGCAGATCTCTCTCGATTCTGGAGTCCATTTAATCTTTCTGCTAGTCCACCTCTGTTTAAAAATTACAATGCAATTACAATTACAATTTCAGTCAAAAGAAAAGCTTCACAACAGTTGAGGCATTCATTATATTTCAAATTCTCCAACCAGAAACAAACAGAAGAAACATGCAATATTAGCTCAGTTGTCATTGCATTTTCTACTGAGAAGCAAGATTTTCATTGGCCAGTAATTTCCTTTTAAAATAATTTTCAGAAACTCAGTTTTTTTTTAACTCTTAAAAATATAAACAGTTTCAGATCAATACTGAGCGTATCATGCTAAGTGAAATGAGTCAGAGAGAGAGGGACAGACATAGGAGGACTGCACTCATTTGTGGAATATAAAAGTAATTTGGAACAAACATCTCCGAATGCAGCAGTTATGTGTACCTAAATCAACAAGTCAACATGACAAATGACCTGGCACCTGAGTTGCGCAGGAGGAAGAGAGCAGCATGGAACACCTTCAAGCGTTGAAGAAATCACTAAGAGGATGAAGAACCTCCGGCTCTGGGCACATTTCTTCAACTCCTCCCCTCAATCGAGAGAAGGAATCCAGAGTTCCGACCTCCTTTGACGATCTGCTTTCTCGTTTGCCAAGGTATCAAATATCAGATGGGCCAGACACATAATGCAATTTGGACTAGAGCCATAACCGACCAGATTCCAGGGGATGTCAAAAGATCACGTGGCCGCACCTACAAGATGGTCAGACTTCTTCGTCAAGACCCCGAATGAATGGTTTGAGGCTCTTCGTGTTCTTGGAGTGAGCAGACACCACTGGTCTACACTAGCATGTGATATGGATGTATGGAGACATTACTGGCGCCCGCTCAAGCAAATCGATAAGTAATGGGATGTCAAGTGATCAAGTGATCCTAAATTAGGTAAAAAAAGATTTTTTCCTAAATTGTCACTATTAGCACTTCCCTTGTAAAATGCTTTTGTTTTGTCCCATAAATTTGTTACACTTTTTTACAATTTTTTTCATTTTCATTGGTTTCAAGTTACTTGCGGACTTCTCCTTTGCATTACTCTTTGGTGGTAGGAAATGTACACTGGTGAAGAAATGGGTGTTGGAACTTTATATAAGTGAAACTCACACTTGCACTCCCTTACTCTGTGCTGAGTGGGCCTCTCTTCCCGGTAGCCTTCCCCACTTCCTTTTCTACATAATGACAAAGCTATTGTCTCTGCTCTCCCTTCTCCACTGGAGGCTCCCTACCGTTCCCGGACATGTACACTTTTTCTCTGAGGACTTTTTAGGCACTGGAGCCCTTTCAAGACAGTGAAGACTGTTTCCTGGCAGAGGTCGGGCACTCCAGCTCTTCTCCAGATTCCTCGGCTGTCCGGGAGCCACGCTCCCTCACTTCCTTCCTCTCCTCACGAGTCCATTCACACTGCCCTCAGGCACATCATACTTGCCTCTCTGCTCTTCATTGTTACATTCACTCTGTTTGCTGACAATCCTTTTTCCTATTAGGTTTACTTTTGTGGCTCTACTTCCCACAAGTTCTGCTTCTCATATTCAATGTCCTTTATTTCTTTCAGTTTTTGTTCTAAATTAAAGCACCAGGAGACAATATATTACATGGTCTCTTTGGGGTTGGATCATCTCCCTGTTCATGGCACACGAAAGGCCCTTTCCACATGTTCTGCATGTCGGTCCAGGGCCCTGTGGTTCTCCACACAAATCCCATTTGGCTTCTTGTCCTGAGTCTTTGCTCTCTCATATCCAAGAGCTTCTGAGGTTCTTTTCAATAAACATTTAAGAGAGCACCTGGAACTTGAATGCTTAACAAAATTTGATAAACCCAATCGACCAATCTCCATTTTAAAAAATCAGCCATATAAACTGGTCATGATTTAAAAAGTAAAAGCTCAACTCAGGTAACAATTCTATAAAAATCCTCCAGAACTTAGTTCTTCCATTTACGTATTATCAAGTTAAAAGTCTATTGCTTCTGATCTCCTATAAACACTGCAGCACTGTCCGTAGCACTGTCCTCCCGCTGTTCATCGATTTGCTGGAGTGGGCCCAGTAATGCCTCCATTGTGAGGCTTCTTGTTACTGTGTGTGGCACATTGAATACGTCACAGGTAGCTTGCCAGGATTGCCCTGCGGGCGAGACACTCTCGGGCTCTCCGAGAGGGGCGGAGGAATCGAACTTGGGTCAGCCATGTTGGCTGCATGCAAGGCAAACGCCCTCCCGCTGTGCCATTGCTCACTTCAGCTAGTATAGTGGTTAGCATAGCTGCCTTCTATAAACAAACATTTTAAAATTAACTCTCACAGCCGCTGGGTTTTCATAAGAAAGAATAAAGGAAGCAAAAACAACAACAACAAACATTTATATAGGTGCAATTTAACCTTAAAAGCTTCCTCTTAGCTGACTTTTCTGGAGTCCTGGGAAACTTTGTCAGCTTCTGGAGTGTATAGGAAGTGCTCTCTGTAGATTTCATCCCCGGGTTTTTCAGTCTCTCCTTAACCCGTCTTTCATCTGACCCCAAATCCACATGAAATCTGTGAGAGGATTCTGAATCAAGGACCGGGGCATTTTCCGAATCATCTTCTTTTTCACTATCTGATGAATATTCTAAAATTTCTGCAGAACATCTCTGGAAAAAAAATTAAGGAAAAATTCGATAAATTTGGAGATATTTATTCATATGAACATAAATTCTAACCCCTTGTGAATGTGTTAATTGAAATTACTTTGTAAATACAAAATTTATAGGTTCAACTTCTTTTCTGGCACAAAATTTGAAAGAATCATACCATATACTGTGTAAACTCAAAAAAGGCACAGCACAGCGGTGGTTGCTCTGTCTCTCCCGCCGCCCACGTGCAGTAGTCTCACCCTGCTTCCCCCACCCCAGGGAGGTCGATGGTGATGAGCAGGCGAAGGAAGGACACGAGAGCCAGGCTGGTTGGTCTTAGCTGCAGTTTATCCCAATCCTCTCTCCATCGACTCCTGTCTCTGTCCTCTGCCTCCTCTGCTTCTTCCTCCCCCATGCTACTTCATTCTTCTTCTCGATCTCCCTTCACCCTCCTTCTCTGGAGTCTCGATTCTGATTCTGATCACCCAGCCCACTCTTACAGTCTAGTTAAATCCCAAAGCATGAGGGGTTGGGGTAACAATTACACATAGGTGCGATCACAATCAATAGGGGTTGAATTCTTTCCCTCAGAGAAAGCCGCTCCTAGGACAGATCCTCATTATCAGATCAATCCACCGAGAGCAGATTCCCCTGGGTGTGTTTCTCCTCTCCTTGTCTAACAAACATATAAGCAGATATAATATAAATCATTTTGTATGGATACAGTAAGAAATACCTTAAACTTACAGAATTGCCCTCCTAGGGCCATCTCGATCTCAGACTACAGTGCTCAGGCCAGGTAGTCTTTCCTACCCCTAGCAGGGTCCTCGTCTTGTCGTTACTTTTGGATCATGACAGCATTTGTCTATGACCAAATTCTTAACGTATAGTTAAGAATCGTGGCACTTTGGCCTGGCCCATTTCGATGCCAGGGTAGCTCACCGCTTGCCCTGGGTCCAGTTAGTCCCTCGTCGGGACCCTGCTTTTGGGGTGTTAGGAACTAAGGGCAACTGAGGCTTAAGTCGAGAAAGCAGATGCCCGGGAGTGAATAATATCCAAAGCCAATTAAATCCTAAGTTATAAAGCATAATGTTAACGGTCTTCCTGTATCTATACAAAAAGGACATTGCTTTAAAGTAAACTGTTCATAAGGCATAAGGAGAGGAGAAAGGCAATAATTCACTCATACATATAAAATCATAGATTTCTGAGGAATCTAACCTTACAAGTTAACAGAGTCTGATTAGGGGGAAAGCTGATTAACTGGTTGGGGAGGAGAGCATAGGAAAGAATTTACAGATAAACACAATGGAATGGAAGTGCCTCAGGAGCACTGTAACGGGTGCAACCTGATAAACCTAAGCTCCTTGTGGAGAAAGGGAGAAAGGACAAAGCAATGTCATCCTACAATATATCCAAAGTTAAGTACCATGTAGTGCCAGAAACTGAAGCGTAGTCTCGTGGAGACAAAGCATGCACCCCTGGCCTGGTGCAATGTTCTCAGTCCCTCATATTTTCAAATAATCTATGTTGGTATTAGTAATTTAAAGCTAATCTTTGCAAAGTACTATACTGAACTGGTGATGGAAGTCAAGTTTGTTCTTTATCCTTGAAGACTTTTTTAGTAACTTCAATGGTTATACTGAAAACAAGTCACAGAGCAGAGCAGGCATTCACTACCAGAAACCAGAGAAGCGTGTAATTTCGAGCTGCTGGTCACATCACATGGTAACCAGGCATAGCTTAGGTATCTTTTCTCAGTTTATGCTACAGTGTATCTCGCATATCTCATTATCTCTGTGGAAACAAGTTTTTATTTCATATTGTAAATAGAGATTAAAAATCCAGTGAAAAGACAATCAATTTCAGTTAATAAGACAAAAACAATTAAGCTAGTTGTTCTGAGGGAAGAGAGGAAAAGAAAGAATGGGATTAAGAGTGAAAGCCATTAACAAACCCTGGTAGCTATACATGGCATGCTGTAGCTCTGGAAACTGTCAGTGTGATGTTTTAAAATAAAGTAGCCACTTTTTTTTTCTACTTTAGTATTGTGAACATGTGCTGCTTAATTGTACCCAAATTTAATTAAAATCTTTTTTTCTTGCAAACAAAATGTAAAGCCTTTAAGGCATGGAGCAGATGGAGGGGAGTGTTATTTGTTATAGAACTTGTGAGAACAGAGCTGGGAGATAGTACTGTAGGTAGTGCACCTGCCTTGCATGTGGCTAACCTGGGTCCAATCCCTGGCACCCCATATGGTTCCCCAAGGCCCTCCAGGAATATGATCTTTGAACCCAGAGTGAGGAGTTAAAACCAGAGCACAGCCCAAAGGTGACCCCCTAAACAAAACAAAAACTGTGAGGATGCCCAAACAAAACCCCATGATTTTGGTCAGTATGAATTTGAGTGCTTTTGCCCACTGCTCCTCAGAGTTAAACTGTTCATGATGGAATAGGAGCCACCACTGCTTCCTTTGGTGGAACAAAGACGTGTGCCATTGCCCAGGTCCATCCTATGTGGAAAACAAAACACATCTTGCCTCTCTCACCTCTTCTTCGAACTGATGCACACCATCCAGGAAAGCCATCACTGATGGTCAAACTTGTCCCAGAAAAAAATGCACACAAACCCTGCCCCATCAACAGCAAAATGGCAGCTCCTTAGATTTCCATAGAGAACAAGTCGATAGCTGCGAAATTTCGGATCTATCTTACTGGCGCGGGCATGGAGTAGCAATACTGAGTGGCCACAAGCTGCATCAATCTCATCCCATTCCACAGGAACACTGGATAAGCTACTGATTGTGCCAAACTGTCTACTGTGCCAGATGTGGACAATCACATTAAACACACTGGTTCTCAGCTTGTCCAGCTGCATCTGGGCATAACACATCTGATTTGTTATGTTCTTCAGTTCATCATCCAGCTCCAGCTGCTGTAGTTTAAATTCACCGCCTTCTCTCTGATATACCAAGCTTCCTCCTGATCCAGTCTCCAGCGTGAGCCTGGAACTTCTCCAGATTTTCTACTGCTGTCTTGCAGATCTTTTCCACATCTTTCAGCTCCTGGATCAGTTTCTCCTCTTCTAGTGCCAACTTCTTTAGCTCCATCTGTAGCTTCTCACTGTCCTCCTCATTCATTTGCTCTAAAATCTCCAAACACCAATTCCAGCCCTGTAACTCATTTTTCTGGGACACTGAGTTGAGGGTCCAGCTGGTCCAAAAGATTGTCTTGTGGGGTCAGAACAATAGGACAGCAGGCTGGGGCCTTGCCTTGCACACGGCCAACCCAGGTTTGACCCCTGGCATCCCATATGGCTCCCCACACACTGACAGGAGTAATTCCTGAATGCAGAGCCAGGACCAAGCCCTGAGCATGGCTGGGTGTGCCCAACAACAACAAATTGTAAACATCAAATAAATAAATAAATAAATAAAAGATTGTCTTTTGCATTTCTCACAGTGGGGGTGATCCACATCTGATGTTAAAAAGATCCCCAGTGACCTTCAGTTTTCTGCTGAGGTTCTTCATGGTATAGTCTGGTGCACCCAGATCAGAGTGGAGCTATAGAAACTTTCTGTCAACATCATCCTAGCTATGGGTGGGGGTAGGGGAAAGGAATAGTGAATCTGTAAGAGACATATCCTGGTATAAACTTCAGTGACTGGTTCCTCTCCTCAGTTGACCTACTGGCTCTCTCCTGGTTTCATCTGATCTGTGGCAAAAAAAGTAGTTTGCCATTTCTATCCTAGCACTACCCAGGGATCCCCGTGAGTTCTGGATGGTGACATGATCCTGGATCTTGAAGCTTAAGCCCAGTCTCAGGGCTGCGTTGCTGAACGTCAAAGACCCCCTCCAACCCTCAGGGACCTGCATCTGCCACCTGGTCTGCCTGGGACCAAGGCCTCAAGAACTGTCACACCCAGTCTTCAGCTACTGGTCCGCTAGCAAAAGATTTTCCTCATATATTCCTCACATGGCCATATGTAGCAGGAAACTAAATGTATGCCAAAACCTTGCGGAAAAGATGCCATCGTTTGGCTTACTGTAGTTTAAAACCTCGCAAGCTTGTGATTCCTGACAGATATGGAGGATCTTCCCTCACAAGGAACAAAGGACCAACTGTTTATGGGACCCCAAGGTGCATGGAGTTGGAAGAGGGAGAATGGGGAGCATCCAAGCGTCCTGCAGGTTTATAAGCATAAGGATTTTTCTTTTGTTTTGCTTTTGAGGTGCTGCGGATCAAACCCAGGTCTTGACACATGTTAGGCAAGCGCTCTAACGTGGAGCAACAGCCTGGCCCCTTAAAGTCTATATTTTATTTTTGTAATAGAATCAGACTCAAGTCTGGGAATGAAAAAGAGCTTTAAATCAAGATTCAGTTATTTGTTTTTGATTTTGGACAATTTGCTTAATTGATCTAATTCATTAATTCACTAATTCATTCCTCTGTTCAAACATCTAAAACTGGAATTTAAAAAATATTTAAAGATATTCATAATGGATATTATGAAATATTTCCAACTAAAGGAAGATACTGAAAAAATATGAAAAATACATAAACCATCAACTTATCACCCACCCTTCATCAAATCTGCTCCTTTGAAGTTTTTTAAATGTCAGCTGAAATTTCCTGTTCCCATTTTCTTCCTTCCTAAACATAATTGTCTTGAATTTAACATTTCATTTCATCCTGTCCAATTTTTTTTAAATCACACACATAAACGTACTATTTTGCAAGTTTATAAACTTTATATAAAAAATCATTAAACAGTGCTGGAGAGATGGCACAGCGGGTAGGGTGTTTGCCTTGCACGTGGCCGACCCGGGTTCGATTCCCAGCATCCCATATGGTCCCCTGAGCACCTCCAGGAGTAATTCCTGAGTGCAGAGCCAGGAGTAAACCCTGTGCATCGCCAGGTGTGACCCAAAAAGCAAAAAAAAAAAAATCATTAAACAGTATCTTCTTTACATAGGTCTAATGATCTATTACTTGTTTCATCAGTATTACATATTTAA